CAGGGGGGCCGGAGGAGGTCTGGATGCTATGGGGTTCTAAATGAGACACTCCCCACTCGCTGGGGCCACGGAAACAGGCTCATGGGACCAGAGTTACATTTTTGCAACACATATTTTAGGCATTAAGTAGTCCTCCCTAACATCCCCTAGTAAAGTCACTGGAAAATTAAGTAAATTCACGGGTTGCTGCAGTTGGAAGGTTAGAAGAGTGTAAAAAAATTCCTTGGATTTGAGATAAAAATCTGATGTGCTTGTGAAATCTTAACATTCGTGACTGTCTACCACCCACTTCACTCCTCCTCACAGATGAAACACGGCCTGGAAATCCGACCTCTTGGTCCGAAGGGGGTTTGGGTGACTTGCCCACATAGTCACACATCACATATATGCAACAGCTGCAAGCAGATGTGTAAATGAGCCATAGAGAGGCCTTGTTTAGTGGACATTTTCAGGACAAGATGAGAATCAAACAAAATAGCACTGTCTAAGGGTGGTGCTGAGAAGGAACCTCGTGACCCACGGTATAGTTATATGACTAGAAAGTTAAACGGCAGCTAGGATGGGGGGGAAAAAAGAAAATTCCTCTAGACAGCTCATTCCAAAATGGCATTTCTAGAATAAAGCTTTCCTAGTGCGCGCTATCACCTATGGGCCAAATGAGTAAGAAGCCTGGGGAAGATTTTCTAAAGCCCTCGATCCGCTTTGAAGCAATTCCTAGTGCTAAAAGGAATTTACAAAGAGTGGCAAGTCCAAGGCAAGAAGACAACTAAATATGTGAGGGGAATGTCACATGGGGGGCTATTCATAAAACACAGGTTTAATGTTTTATAAAGAGAAACCTCTTCAATTATTAGTAACATAAGATGAAAAGTTCATCTTTTTTACTAAAAACAAACACACCGGCAAATGAGCAAAGACAGATTCATGGGGACTTTTAAGTTTTTTCATACTTAAAACTTTATAAACTTTTATTCCCTTAAGTAATAAAGTCTTAAGGTGAAATATTTATATGATCTCAGGCAAGGAAGAGAGAGCCAGGCCTGAAGCTCTTACCTCCGAATCGTCCCTCAGCTCACTGCTTTCTTCATCTTGACCCCCATTTTTCGGCATATAGGCCATTTTCAATCGCAAAAATCCCTTTACTCGAGATTTATGACTGTGTGACAGAAGAACACTGGTTATAAAGGACATGACTTGGCTACATCGTTCATATTTATGATGACTTTTGAAAAAGATGAGAGAGGAAAAGATGCTGAATCTTCCTCAGAGCAAACCAATTACCAAGGCATAAAGGCCGCCCGCCCCCGGGGCCTCACCTTCTAGGTCTGAGGAGAAAGTCCTTGAATGTGTAGGGTCGCTCCATGGTTGGGTCTTCTGTCTACAGGAAGAAAAAGGAAGTTTCAACACTCCTGAAAGGTTGAATTGTTAGATGCCCCAAGCTGGATTATAGAGAGTCCATTTTTGTTTTAGAACGTGGGAAAGGCGGAGACAGAGTGGGTTCCTCAACCAGTACTTGACAATTAATTAAACACTTTATATAGGTCATGGAACTTTATCCACCCAAGGTCCACTAGATGTCACTATCAACATCCGCTTTTAGGAGCCAACTCCAGCCTTAGACAAATGACAAAACGATTGTGGTCCACGCCAAATAAAATTTCTAACTGCGGGGCGGAGGCCTTCATCTCACACACTGATGAACGTCGGAGAACCTGTGGTCCCTGGCGATTTCATGTGGCTGTCATCCAAGAAACTAAAGATGGAGTTAACAGGGAAATTTATGCCACATCTAATCTGTGAAGGCAAATTTACTGTATTTTTAACATTAAAGTATCATGTCATCAGCCTAAGATACAGTCATTGGAAGGTTATCTCCGCAGAGACTATCCTAGGTGGCTTCATGAAGCTATGAATGCAATTATAACATGTATCCATTTTTCAAAGAAACCAAAAGACTGTGCCAAATCAGTCGATCAAAGCAAGCTGGAAATTAGAAAAATAAATGTTATTATTTCATTAATTTTTAAACACAATATGTAGTAAAACCTCAAAAACCCAGACTCTTAATGAAGCACAATGTAGAATACTGACTTCTATAGCAAGAGAGACAAACCACAACACAATGATTTTTTTGGTATCAGAGGGGTATGTGTGTATGCATTTACTTTTGAAACATGTTTGTCATTCCCCACTTTAAACTCCTGATAGCCTCTTAATTTGCTTATAAAAATATGGAAATTCTTCCCTATGGCCTACAAGGTCAAGGGGAATCTGGCTCGTAATTACCTATAACCTCACTGTGAACCAGTCCCTCTGGTCACACCTCACTCGAACTGGCCTCTTCTGTCCTGTGCGCACATCGCATTCAATCCTGCCCGAGCTGGTCCTCCTGCTGGACAGCTCTGGCTCCAGAGGCCATGGCTGCCTCTGCTTTGCCATCTGGGTCTGAGATCCAGGGTCATATCCTCACATATCACAGCTTAAATTGCTTCCAGTAGGCTCCCCTTATCATCTTCTAGGAAGAACATCCTGACTTATCTCCCTCCTTTTCACTATCTTAAATTATCCTCTTCATTTATTTATTTACTAGTTTATCACCCATCACTTCTAGAATGTTAGCTCAGATCAGAGACTTGGATTTGCTCACCACTGTATCATGGTGCCAAGAACACCGCCTGGCACGAAGAAGGCACCTGGGCGAGTAGCTGATTAATTCACCTGACATGCTTCTCTGGACTGTTCACTAAGGCAGTAGAGATCGATTCTGGCCTGGGGTTCAAAATGGTTTCAGATGTGTGGTCCCATCCCAGGTGAGTGGGAAAGTCCTGAGAGGTGGAGAATTGGGAGGAAGGGTAGTTCAAGCTGAGGAAATCAGCAGCATGAACAGGGTAAGCAGCAGGCATAAGCAATCTCGGAGCAGTGGAGAGCCCAAGAGTGAACAAGAAAACCACAGGGCTCAGAGGAGCTCTGGAAAATGAGACTATCCATAACTACGTAGTTTAAATGACAAACACCACACAGATCAAGAGATAGACCTCCTAGGCCCGTGTCCTGGCTTTGTTATTTACATAGACACGTGGCCATAAAAATGGGAGAATTGAGTCTGAGGGCCAAGAATGAAAGTGGATCACAATTCTAAAATTACCCTCTTTCATCTGGAAGCATCTGATAAGTATACAGCACAGAGGAATCCATGATCAAAGGGGAAAAAAGGAGTTTCTTTTTTTACTCCTTACCTGAGGATATTTTTTCCATAGCTTTTCCGAGAGTGGAAGAGAGCAAGAGAGGGTGGTAGGGTGGTGGGGTGGTGGGGGGAGACGGACCAGCAACCCAGGTACGTGCCCTTGACCAGGAATCAAACCCGTGACCCTTTGGTGCATGGGGCCCACGCTCTAACCAATGAACCATACCTGCCAGGGCAAGTTTCTTTTCTTTCTCATGATCACTCCTTACTCTTTCCTATTAGGGTACAATGACAGAGCTGACACGGCCTCCTCTGGCCGCTGTGACTCTCTCACATGCAGAGGGCACCCGGCTTCACACCACCCTCCCTGCCCGCCTCTCCTTCACGTGTGTACCTGGCAGAGTTCCAACCTGGGCTCACAATGGCCCACAAGGCCCAGCAGGGCACGGAATCAACCCAGGGACCCAGCCTTGGGCAGTGAGCCGAGGACCCATGCGCACCAGATCCAAGATGCCAAAGCGCATTGAGCATCCACGCAAGGGGCTGCTCCTAACTGGTCCCCTGAGATGCTGGGGCCCCTCTGACCCTCTCGTCTTCCTGGTCAGCAGCTTGGGGTGTGGGAATTTACAGCGAAGAATTTCAAAGCAAGGTTTTTCCACTGCAAACACCAATGTCCACTGGAACTGCACCAATACACCTGCAGGACTCCAGCAAGGGGAGAAGGTCCTGCAGCAAACGTCAGTAAGTTTAAAACGTTTCTTTACCAAAAACACACTCAAAAAACGCAAAATAGAATATTTAATTATTAAAAATAATTTTTTAACAATCATGAGAGATTACGCCAAGTTCAGTTTTACTGCCTCGAATCTTCTCCATCGAGCTCCTGATTTAGAAAAGAGCTTCATTCAAATGCTGGCAACTTCTTAGACGAAATCAAGGCAGGTAATTTTTTTAAAAAAGGAATAAAGGTTCACGGTATCTTGGGGCAACAAAAGAAAGCCTCATTTCTGGTTTCCAATGCCTTATAATAATTACGTGCATAGGTATGTCAACGTAAAGTCATAGATAACTATTTTGCTAATACTAATTTCAAAAATAATTCCAAGTTTCAGGGCCTTTTCTTATTAAATATTCTTTGTACATTAGATATGTAAAACTAGAGAGAAACAGCCTCAGGTAGGAAGAAAAAGATAAATAAAAAACCACTAAGTAAAACTAGTACATTTTGGAATCTCTCCAATCCCAGTCCCCCCTCCGCCCCCAACAGCCAGAATTATCTGAGGAAAAGGGAATCCAGAACCATCCATTTCTGACCCAAGCCACTCTGGACTGATCTTAACATGTGCTATCCAGTATGGGAGCTGTTTGCCATATGTGGCTTGTTAATTTAAATTTTAATAAATTAAAATGAAATAAAATGATAAATTCAGTTCCTCGGTCACATTCCCCATATCTCAAATGCTCAGCTACCATGTGTGGCTACTGCACTGGAAGCCACCTGAGGGAGGGGCTTGCTTCAGGGACCCTTTCTCAGGTTAGAATCATGCCCATCAGCAAATATATGCAGAAGGAATAGATTCTCTGTTAGCTAATGAGGCTGTATATAATTAATTAATAATCAAACACCCAATCAGAGTCCTTAAACCTCAAGAAGGCCTGAGTGGGTTGGCGATGGCCACTTTAACCCATATTACTGCTTTCTATTATTTTCTCTCATTACTAATGAGACAGCTTACTTAATTTCTTTTATCTAAAAATGAATGATTTTGACAAATATTAAATCCATAGGCCATACATAATCTGCCTTGACAGTGGTGATGCAGCCATCAAGAAAAGAGCATCCATTATCCACTATGCAAAATACATTCCAACGCTAACTATTCATTTTACACACCCACGCTTATGTTATCACACAAAATATGATGACGGGCCATTTTCCATGGGTGTCCTACAAATACGATCACATACACACACAGTACACCTCAAATCCTGGGCTCAAAGGCCACGTCCATTCAGAATATGCTCGGTGGGGTCTACCACCACTTCCAGGATAAAAATGCACCTTCACCCTTCCCCTCTGCTTCCTTCCTGGTCCACCTCCCAGACTGTAGTTGGCTCCATAGAGCCAGTCAATTGTAAGTGCGGAGATCATGGCACTTGGAAGTAAGCTGATCTTTGCTGATCTTTCGGCAGATGCACAATTGGGAGGCTCCATTACTCAACGGGGTCAGCTCGTGTAAAAGTCCTCTGGAGGCATTCACGGTTCTACTCTCTTTAACTGGCGGGTTTCTATTCTAGCCCTGAGCCTTGGCACCACAGCCTTCTTTGAAAGCTCACTCTTGCCTCCACCCAAATCTGAAGCCCAACTATTCCCTCTATTGACTTGGTCTCTAAAGAGGAATAATCTTCTCCTCTCCGGGGGTCTCACCCAACCTTTGGAAACCAATCTGCACTCAATCGCTCAAACAAGGCATTGTTGGAGCAAGATGCTTAGAAATTTTACTTCCACCTCTCAGAGAATATTAGTACATAATTTGCCTTGACCTAGATATGATTTTTACATTAGGGCAAAGGGTAGTTGGGGACACCCATGAAAAAGGATTGGCCAACCAACTCATACTGTCTGAAAAATGAGGACATCACACCTTCAACCTGAAGAGCATAAACAGAAGACCTACTGATGCAGAAATATGTGAAGAGTTTCTTCACAAATGTTGAGATCACTTTATCCTTTTAACATGACTTTAAAGGAATAAACCAGGTTTCTGCTGGTTTAGAGAACTGGTCTCATGCACACACACACGCCCTCCACACGCACCTTGGAGCTTCAGGTCTTTATGTAGAAACGAAAATATTTTAACGATATCACTGTTGCATCCAATCTTTTGGAAGGGAATGCACTTGAAACATTTTCCCCTTAACAGCTCCCCTGGGTGAATAACAATCAGTTGCTTGCTAACACATTCTGTCCCAAGATCCTGGATCTTCAAAGCTGCCTGGTTAAAATGCAGTCGGTCTTTCTCGGTATTTCATCTATGGTACCAGTCACCATTTCAACACAGCGGTAGGCTTATAGTAGGCAGTCTAAGTCATTTTAGTTTATAAGGTATTTAAAGTTTTTGCTCACATAAAGCATTAACAAAACAAAAAAATAGCAAAAAGGCACAAATATTTGACTTACTGGCTGCTATTTGAATCACTTTGTGTTGCCCAGGGAACCAAGGGCAAGAGGAGGGGTGGAACAATCTGGAAAAGCAAAGCTGGAATACAACGGGATCTACCTTCCACCACAGGCTCTGGGTCCTATCCCCACAGTCTGTTTATAGGGCCTCAGGAGCACCTCTAACCTCAGTTATTAGTCAGTAAATCCAAGTGTTTGGCTGATCCTCTGAGCAGAGAGAAATGGTAGCAATACCACACATGCTAACTACGATTTCTAAAGCTGAGTGACAGGTTCACTCAGAACCAACAGCATCTTTGTCTGTGCTGACAGAAAGCCATACAGCAAAATTTGGGCAGCACAAGCTTGTAGAGATGCAGCCCACAAGAGACAGCATGTGCCATCCTAGACAAAGGGAACACATGTTTGATTAAACCCAAAGGATGAATTTGAAAGCAGAGACATTCCGGTGACAAGGAGGAGTTTGACAGAGGAAGGGAGCTGCTTTGCTTGACTTGACAACGGAAGACAAAAGAGCAGAAGAGCAAGATGCTGGTGACACTGACCGGCATATACTTGGAGAAGAATAAAAGACCCTCAATTCTTTCCTATCCCCTTGAAAGGACCACTTTCTAGAAAATAACTGAGGCTCTTTATTTCAGCCTTGTCCATTGTGTTGAGGAATTATTCCCCTGAAAATACACCCAGCTCAAACAATCAGAAGTTACTGCTCACAACAGACACAGAAAGCACGTAACCATCCTTACCGGGAGATGATTAAGGGGCACGTCCACCTGTCCCAGGAAGTCGTCTCGTGTCTGTTGAGAAGAGAGCAAAGAGTTAATGTCCCCGCCAATTGCACAGTGTCAGCATTCTTAAAAAATGTTTCTTTACAAATAGAGACAAAGGTCCAGGGCCTGACACTAGAGTGCCATGAGGATGGGTCAAGGCAGAGGGCCCAGAAGAGGCGCAGACAGCTGTCACCTTGGAGACAGGTGAGCCCCAGGCCTGATACACCTGACCTTTAGCTACCTGAGACTTTGTCAGGCATGCACTGCCCAAGAGACCCGAGGAGCATATGACTGTCAAGGAAGGGACACTGACGATGACAGAAGGTTTGGGGGCATGGCTGGACCAATCTAAAGAGAAGAGCGTAAAGAAAGGTTGGAAACATTTTAACAAATATAGGGTGGGGCAAAAGTAGGTTTACAACTGTTCAAATGCATAATAATAGGATAACTAATGCATAATGCAAGCATAAACTCTGTTTCGCGTACTCACAACTGTAAGTCTACTTTTGCCCCACCTCTATTTATTGATCAAGTGCTACAAACTAAAGAGCTCCCTGAGAGCTGAGTCTAGGGAAAGAATATAGAGTCTAGTTATTAATAAATCTTGTGCATTACTTATAAAAAATGGCCTCAAACTTTCAATCTAGTATGTACACTGCTTCAGAATCCAAGTTCATGGATTGGTTACTGGTTAAATTTTGGACACACCATGCTTCTTTCTCTTTCCATCTACTATATAACACAGATCGGACTTAAAATTGACCTAGACAAAATTCAGAGAAGCCCTCACAGGGGCCTCTTCAGATTGCGGTGTGACCTGGAAAGTCTTAACTCAGTTCAGAGGTCATGGCTTGGACCACAGGGTGTCTAATGGGTCATGTCTGCACTATGTCCTGCTGTTAGAGGGTTTGTGTCATACCCTCTGAGGTTATATGACCTGAGGTGCAAACCAGACACAAGGACTTTGGTGACCCTCCTATAAAAACAGGCAGTGGCACCTACCACACTCAAAAATGCCTAAAATCTGGCCAGTTCTTTAGATGTCGTCAGAACTGTCCCACAGCCACCTTGAGGAAAAGCCCAAGAGCGAATCCAGACCTCCTAACTCCGAATCGGGTTCTTATCTGCACTCTTTACTAGTTTACCCTGAAGTTTCATCATTTACAGAAACTACTTCTCAAACGTACTTGGAAAACGTCTCTTCTTGCATTTAAAAAGCATCAGCAGATAAATAGGGAGGCGATTTAGTGACATGATTTGCTCCAGGCTTAGGATTTCCTTTTAGGTTATTAAAAAAGTGTAATTAACTAGAAAGCTATATGTCTCCTCTAAATGATGCATGAAGGATAATGAAAAATTGAAGTTACCGCTGGTTGGATGTGCAGGAAGCATGAGATGAGCCCAGTCCTCATGATGAGATTCTCATCTGTTTTCTCAGCTACATTTGCTACAACCCACCATGGAGATACCTCACCTAACACAAGGCTACAAGGTGCCAAAAAATGCTGTATATCTTAACAAAGGAAGCAGTCAGCAGGAGGCTCAGAAAAGGGAGACAGCTTTGCTGTCCAAGGAGTTAGGGAGCATTCTCAGCCCCAATTTGGCCAATTTAGTTATAATTACAAAGCTAGTATAAAAATCAGTTAACTCATGAAAAAATGAAAAAATAAAAAACAAGTGTGTTGACTACTGACCATAAATTGCATGTCTACCTAATTAATTGCCACTTGTCCCCTTCCCCCTCCTGCTACTGGTGCTGATGCTGAGGCTTGGATACGGGATGCAACCATCAGAAGCAGACCACCTTACTAGAAGCTCCATTCATAACCTGATACCATTAAAAGGCTCCTCATCCATCGTTAAGGTCAGTGCACTGTAACAAAAATTCACATGACAGCTGCACACCCATGTGGTTTTTTGGGGAAGATGTTAGAGTTCTAGACTGATCCACTGAGTTCAGCTTTGCTCAGACGCCAGAAGAAGCACCTGCCACAAAGGGCTACAGCAATGAAGCAGGCACTTTGCCAGGGCCACACCCAACCCTCACAGCGACCAGAGGACATAGGCCTATTAATAAGCAGACTTTACAGGTGGGGAGCTAGGGACCAGGGAGGCCTGTGACCTGCTCCAGGTTCCTATCTGAGTAAGCTGGTTCGAGTCTGAGCCCTTAACTAAGTAACCTTCTGTCCCATATCTCACTCTGTACCAGGTAGGAAAGCAAGGCTGCCCACCAGCTTCAGGCTTCTCACTGGAATGGTGGCTCTCAACAGTCGTGGATGAGAGCACAGTTTTATGAGACTTGGGAAGGGAGTTGGGAAGAGTCCTGTGAAAATGCCCATTTGTTATGTTATTGTTAACACTGCCTCCTGTTCAAACTCCGCTCCTTCCCTCCAATGAAAGAATATACTGCATCCCCGAGGCAGCTTCACTTGTACCTTAGCAAGTCTTCTAGTACACGACAAAACAATTTCTAAAACAGCCAAAGGTGGAGCAACCCCACCATTAAAGTAAACACAAGGCCCTTGTTTCTGGGTGACATCAAGGATGACTGAAATAAAGGGATCATGTCTAGGATAACACATGGTCCAAAGGACTGGTCTTAAACAAGGGTCTCATTAGGCAGTGGAACATGGTGGTGAGACCTAGGTTTCAAAACATCCCACTGTTGCCAAAACTGAGAGATTTAGGTACTGTAAAATACTTAGGTTAATGACACTATACAAATTTTAAAACATATCTTCAACACCACAAAAGAGCGCAGTAGGGGATCAGAGAGCCTACCAGTGACCTTTAGGCTGAGATGAGAAGCAGGTGTGCCTGAAGGACACCTGAGTGCAACAGTAACAAGCAGGAACAGTGTGCTGCCAGGGTGGAACCCCACCTGTGGGCCCTGCAGAGACATTTGAGGCCATCACAATATCCCTCGGTCGCCATGCCACAGAATGACATTTTACACCAATGTTAGAAAAATACATTACAGCAAATCAATTTTTAATAATTTCCTTCAAAAAATTATTTCCATCAAGCTTCATGTTAACTATAAGCGATTACAAAAACCCAATTAGTTTCAACCCCTACAGTCAATACTTGCATTTCTTGTGCTTATTCTAAAGTGGTAAAGGCTATCAATTTCAACCTCAATTACCTGTCACTCTATTCTAGAAGCTGAACATGTACAGGTTAGTACCAATTATAAATGTTCCCTCCTGTCAAGCCATCAAATACATTTCCAATGTCATGAAAACACAAAATAGAGCCCCTGAAACGTGTTGTAGAAGGTAAAAGAAAAATCTGTATTCCACTACAGGAAAAGTGAAATTAGTATACCAAACACTGTCTCTTTTAGAGCTTGCTCTCTACACAGTGATGAACTATATTCAGGTCTGCCCTTTTCTGCTTTTAAAATAACGATTCCCTTTTAAATAAGGAGACAAGTGTGTGTCACAGTCATGGAGGTCCCATGTGTAATGCCGCTGGAAAAATGCTGGGACTGTTCTGACAGCGCCAGCGAACCCTGTTATGGCTCTGGGGCATTTCCCAAGGCTTCCTGCGCGCACGCTGGGCCCGAGCTGCCGGCACTGAGTGGACGCCAGGCTCAGCTGTCCTCACAAAGGAGTGAGACCTCAATTTCGCAAAGAACACATTAGAAAGAGAGCGAAGACTTTCTCAATCTTTAGGTCAGGACTGTACTTGAAGGATGTGATCTGACTCTCACTGCACACTGATGACCACAGAGGTCACGGGCAAACGAGGCGAGGACCATGCATTTCACGTGGGAGGTAAAAAAGAGAGCACAGGGTGGGGGGGCCACTCAGGGAGAAAGCATTAGAAGCAGGGAGTGGTCCTCGCAGGGAAAGGGGGGGCCAGAAAGGCTTGTTAGGAAAAGGTGTATTGAACAGAACTGGCACCTCTTGCAAGGTACAATGACCTGCACGTAATACTGGAGCTTTTATTAAGGTGGTGTTTCAACTGTGAGTTGCAACCCCACTAGCAGTTCGCACGAAGCATTTAAAAAAATTAAATATAATGGAATAGAAAATATTAGCGCCGCCTGGCAGGTGTGGCTCAGCGGTTGAGCATCGACCTATGATCCAGGAGATTGTGGTTCGATTCCCGGTCAGGGCACATGCCTGGGTTGCGGGCTCGATCCCCAGTGAGGGGCATGCGGGAGGCAGCCGATCAATGACTCTCTCACCATTGACGTTTCTCTCTCTCTCTCTCTTCCTCTCTCTGAAATCAATNAGCCGATCAATGACTCTCTCACCATTGACGTTTCTCTCTCTCTCTCTCTCTTCCTCTCTCTGAAATCAATATATATTTTTTTAAAAATTAGTGCCTCACATGAGATACTAAGCAAGTACTGTCTTGAGAAACTTACTTCAGTTACATACATATACGAATGTGTGTATTAAGTTGTGCTATAAAATCAATTTCTTTTTGTGTGACACCATCAAAAGTTTAAAAGCCACTCACTACAGCAAATGAAAACCGGCCAGTACTACCAACTGCCTGGGGTTTTATCCCAGTAAGCATTAAGTAGTGACTTCCAAGAAAATGATATTTAGAATTCCTCAAGACAAATGGGACAGGAGTTGGAGGAATAAAAACATACGCTACAGAGAAAGAATTTACGAGTAAAGCTAGAGTATGATGAGATGTTTGTTATCTTACAAATCGAGGGAAACGTCACGACCTTTAAGGCTAAGCCAGAAAAACAACCTTGGGTTTCCCATGATACCACTGAATGCAACTCCCTGGGTGCTGCTTCCTTTGATGTGTGTGGCTCCACATTCGGGCACCAGGACCAGCTAGGCGAGGGAAACAGGCTCTATTTTTAGGGTGATCGGACACATGCTCTCAGAATTACCTAAGTAATCAATAGCTTGAGAAACTGTACAGAAGCTTTCAGACAAAATGTTATGAGCACAGTACTCGTCAACGGCTTATTGTCTGGAGAGGCACCTGGAGGTCAAGACGCACGTTCAGGCCCTGTCTCCTTCCTCACTAAAGCATGAATCAGCTCTGTC